AAACGTATATGAAAAAGATGAGGACGATGAGGAAGAAGATGATGATAATGATGAGATTGAAAAGCAAACCTGGTTGATCCTGCCAGTAGTCATACGCTGGCCTCAAAGAGTATGATGATGGTGATAATCATGTTCACGTATCTCTTGCATCAGAAATCGTATGATAATCGTTACGACGCATCCTCAGCATCGCCAGCAGTCCTGATGATAAGTGTGACTACGCATCGGCTGTATCTCCAATCGGGCCGAACGTGACTTTTGAAACGTATCTGAAAAAGATGAGGACGATGACGAAGAAGGTGATGATATTAACCATGATGCTATTATGTGCATGCGTCTCTTGCATCTCAAATCGGATCATAATCATCACGACGCATCCTCAGCATCACCAGCAGTCATGATGATAAGCATGATAAGCATGACTACGCATCGGCTGCATCTCTAATCGGGCCAAACGTGATTTTTTGAAACGTATATGAAAAAGATGAGGACGATGACGCAGATATCAATCATGATGTTATCATGTCTACGCATCTCTTGCATCTCAAATCAGATGGCATGACTACGCATCGGCTGCATCTCGAATCGGGTCGAACGTCACAATTGAAATGTATATGAAACAAATGAGGACGAAGAGGAAGAAGGTGATGATGATGATGAGATTGATGAACAAGCCTGGTTGCTCCTGCCAGTAGTCATACACTGACCTCGAAGATTTTGATGATGATGATAATTATGTCCATGCATCTCTTGCATCTCAAATCGGATGACAATTATGACGACGCATCCTCAGCATCACCAGCAGTCATGATATTAAGCATGACTACGCATCGGCTGCGTCCCTAATCGGGCTGAACGTGACTCTTGAAACGTGTATGAAAAAGATGAGGACGATGCGGAAGAAGGTGATGATATCAATCATGATGCTATCATGTCCACGCGTCTCTTGCATCTTAATATCGGATGATAATCATCACGACGCATCCTCAGCATCACTAGCAGTCATGATGATAAGCACGACAGCATGACTACGCATCGGCTGCGTCTCCAATCGGACCGAACGTCAGTTTGGAAACGTGTATGAAAAAGATGAGGACAATGACGAAGAAGGAGATGGACGATGACGAAGAAGGTGATGATGATGATGAGGTGCTGAGGATATCCGTGATGAATAAACCTGGTTGATCTTACTAGTAGACATGTGCTGGCCTTAAAAAAGATTACGATGATGACGATAAAGATTGTCTTGCGAGTAATTATGCTCACTTTCCTAAGTCACCTTGGATTTGCACTACACCACCCTTCCCGTGCGCCTCCCCCTTTGAGAAGAAGGATTCGGCGGATTTCTAGATTGTTCCTCAGTTTGATGAGCTTGGTTGAGTTGCAATAATGTGTGATTTAGGGTTGGTATGAAGGAATATGTGTTTTTGTAATTTAGCTTAGTTATATTTTGATTTGTATTTATATATATATATATATGTATTGATTTATGTATTTTGATTTTATTATATATATATTGATTAATTATACATAATATATATTGATTGAATTATATTGTTGTTATTATTTATTTTTAAAAAATAAACAAATATTTATAATTGAAAATAGAAATATTTGAAAATAATTTAAAATATATTTAATATATTAATTGTGTATGTAAAATTGGTATTATATTATTTATAACATATATATATATATTTTTTAAAAAATGATATTAATATTATTGTTTTTTATTAATATATATTTGTATGTATTATTGTTTATATGCTAGAAGCGAATTCTTTTGTTTGTTTTTTAATATAATAATCTTGAATAACATATTATATTTTTTTTTCTTTAAATCTTATTATATATATATATATAAATTAAATGTTTTTAAAATGGAATATGTTATATATTATTTTATATTGTTTATTTAGAAAACAAATACATTATTTATTACAAAACAAAATAATTGTCTTTATAAGTTAGTGTTCTTTGCTATATTATTAAGAATTAAATATATTTTTTAAAATATTTTCATGTTGAATAAAAATCATTTTCCATATTTATGAAATTATGATTGTTATAATAAATTCCTCCATATTTTTTCGATTCCAAATTTCTAGCCCCTTTTTAAATGACATTTTGCCGCGTAAGAATTACAAATTATGACTTCAAGCCCATTTTAACTTTATTAACAATTATTTGCATATGGCCGATCACAGCGGTAAGACATTAGGATTATATATCTTATCCGCTGGAAAGAACTGGCCAGCGGATGGAGATGGAATTCCTTCGTTATCTTTCTCTACCTTCCTTTATGTCCTGTAGCCCATTTTCATCCTCTGGTTATTTTCCTTATATCTCTAAGCCTCTATTCTATGGCTTAGTCATATCTCTTTCATATCTTATGGTTATTTATGATTTCTAATTTGTTTCTTTCGTTTTTGTTTAGCCATCGCCAACCCCGCCCTCTGCAGAGCACATACGCAAATACCAACATGAAATGCAAACCCAAAAAATACGCCGAGCGGGATATTGAGTCAAACTAGATTGGCGGAGCTATTCTAGCGGGATAGCAGTGGGAGCCATTAGCAAATATTAACGAATCGTTCCGATTTATATTAACCGGATATTCGGCAAAAACCACCAACAAAAACAACTCAGCAAAAAATCTCGACAAAATCCACTTACGAACCACTCAACGGGAAATCCGCTAATAAACTGCTCGAATAAAATATACGTTTTTATTAAAATACTCAATAAAATTCATTAATAAATTAGTCGAAAATATTCAGTAAGAAATTCATCGAATTACTCCAACTATTCTAAAATATTCAACGAAATACCCAACAAAAGTGACATATTTAGCGAAATCCATCAATAAATCGCTCTAATACAATATTAAGCAAAATTCATTAATCAATAGCTCTAACGAAATATTAAATAAAATTCAATATTCAATTTCCAAAACCAATTTCATAAATAAAAATCCAACAATACCACATTACAATCCTTTCAAAATATATCATCTCTGCAAAATACTCACTATAAAATTCATAAAAAAATAATAATACATAATTTCAAATAATAACTAAATTCCCATCCCAATATCTTACAATTTTAAACAAATTTATATATAATGTAATTCTGTATAATACTACAAAGAATCCATTAATTCCATCAACGACAATACCAACAAAAAACCACAAAAAACAGAGAGAGAAAACAAAGAAGAAAAAAAGAACAAAAAAGAGACAACACAAAAAAATAAGAAAATACAATTAAAAAACAAAGAAAAAACAATAAGAAAAATAAAGAGAAAAAACAAAAACCAACATAAAAAAAAAAAAAGAGAAAAAGAAAAAAAACAAAAGAGAAAAAAAGAAAAGAAGAAAGAGAAAAGGAGAAATAAAAAGAGAAAACACTAGAGAAAAAAAAGAGAAAGAGAGAAAGAGAAAGAGAAAAAAAGAGAGAGAAAAAGAGAGAGAAAGAGAGAAAAAGAAAAAGAAAAAGAGAGAGAGAGAGAGAGAAAAAGAGAAAGAAAGAGAGAAAAAGAGAAAAAGAGAAAGTCAAAAAAAGAGAGAACAATTAAAGAGAGAGTAAAAGAAAGAGAAAGAGAGAGAAAAGAGAAAGAGAGAAAGAGAAAGAAAGAGAAAGAGAGAAAAAGAGAGAAAAAGAGAGAAAAAGAGAGAAAGAGAGAGAAAAAGAAAGAAGTAAGTAAGTAAACAAAAATAATAATAACAATAAAAAATAAAAAGCAAGACAGAACGAAAGGAAGAAAGCGAAGCTTGAATCGAAAGGGGGAAATACGACATGCGGCAACGTGGAAATGTGCCATCTTTGTGAACCGACCCGTAGAAACAAACGCAGACAGACAACAAGCTAAAGACAGAGACACATATAGACAGACATTACCAAATAGACAGACGCGAACACGCGAAAATAGACAGAGAGACACAAAAAGACGCAAAGAAAATAGAGACGAACGACAACCACGGACACATAGAGACAAACAAAGACAAACCGAGACAACCCGAGAGACAGAGAGACACAGACAGACAAATAGAGACAGAGAGGCGCAAACACCAAAAAGAAACAAGTTGGCATACACAGAGATGCACAAAGATAGACAGAGAAAGACAGAGATTACGAAACAAATAGATATGGACACACGGAAACAGACTGCGAAACACAGAGAGAGCCAAGGATATGGAAACACCCGGCACGAAATTTTCGAGAAATTTCGATTCGGACAAGTCCCCAAATTTCCCCGAAATTTGGCCCGGCAATTTTTTCGGAAAGCCGCCAAATTCTGAAGAAATTTGCGGGGCTGATATCCGGAAACCTAAGAGCCGTATCGCCGGAAACGACCCAAAATTCGGGAAAATTTGGCCGGATTACGCCGCGGGAACTCTAAGCAAAATTGTTAAGAACCCCCCGAAATTTCGGCAAAATTTCGGGGCCTTCCGGGCTACGTAAAGAGGCGGCACATAACCGCTCGCCGCAAGCACTACGATTCGGCCAGAGTACCGCTACAACGGCTTACCGATGCACGGGAAATGCGATCTCGAGGCCGTACCGGTTTATAGGAGCATTTCAATTTAATTCCACTTAACTCTACATATATAATTTAATTCTATACAAATTAACTCTATAAATTCAATTCTATATAATTCAATTCCATATTAATTAATATTTGTTTTAGTGTATCACCCCAATTAATATTCAAAATAACAATTATAAACTATATAATTTGGTATATATTAATTTTATATATAGTGTTTAATTGTGTTATTTATATAATTATTAATATATATGTATATATATATATATATATTATTATTATTATTATTATTATTATTATTATTATTATTATTATTATTATTATTATTATTATTATTATTATTATTATTATTATTATTTTTAAAAAAATAAATATGTGTTTTTATTTATATTTAATATTTAATATGTTTATGTTTTTTTATTATTATATATAATTTAATATTTATGTTTTTCAGGGTTTTGCCTTCGGCAAAAGAATTCAAGTTGCATTTCACTAACGCGCCTTGATGTTGAACATTGGAGGACCATCGGATTTGAACATAGAAATAATTGCCTTGATGCTCGTGAGCCGCTGGATTCTGCACAACAAGGCATCCATCGCTCACGAAGAAGAAAGTCACTCCACTTCTCCGCGCGGGTCATTGGGAGATCGTGGCTGCTCTGGTGCTTGGGCCTGCACCGGCAGATTCAGATTCAATGTACTCCACACTCTCTCTGACGCGAATTCCAAACCGAGGCCTGATTCCACTTCACCCGTTCTAGATCTCCCACGGCAGGAACATGTGGAGGCAGAGCATCATCGGTTCTGGGAGGCGAATGCATTTCACCAAAGCGCCGTTCAAAATCCCTTCATACTTAGTCCACAGAGTCGCCAAAAGTTAATCAGGCACGTGTGGCCATGCTTGGAATAATTATTCCCAGTCCTGGAAGAACTTCTCTCGGAAGGGTCATCCATGGTCTCTTCATCCTTGGCCAATGTCACGACACTTGCAGTATGTCAGTATGTCACACTTGTTCGATGTACATTTGACAGTAGTTGAAGTAGCAGCGGTGGCAGAGGAGGAGCAACAGTAGCTATGGCCGTAGCAGTCGCAGTCGCACCAGATAGCTGCAGTGCCATTGGTCACTGACAATACGTCTCACACTTGGTGAAACGGCACCATCCAGGGAGACAACAAAACGCCGTCATGATTGTAGTTCCACCCCAAACAAAAACACAAATGAAAACGAATCTGCTATGCGCTATCTTTCAACTGCTCCGTCACAACGGAAGAACAGCTGCAACAAAGCGTCCTCCAAATAGGCCTGCCATGCGTTTGACTTGGCTTCAAACAAGACAAGCAACTGTCGCACCCCAGCGCCAATTCCTCCGTGAGTCACACAGTACAAGTTGTGTCTATAGCCGTCTTGTACAAGGAGTTACCGGCAGCTAGTGGTGACATTGCGTCTCGGTAATTTCCAGCGCAGCCTGCCTCCTGAGAGTTATGCACTTTTGATGTTGGTTGCCCAAAAGACATCTGCGACCTGAGCCACGGCGAGCGGAATTGACCATTCATCCGAGTCAAGAAACTGCCGCCAGGTAACACTGATCTCGACATATACTCCTTGCTTGAGTTTCTGGACCAGCCTTGGAACGTAGCCGATCAAGCCAGTGATTCGTTCTCAATTGTCAATCTGGGTGGAAGTCTGCGCATCATCATGTCGTCAGGCCAGTGGTTGGGAAAGCTGCCAACTTCCACATGAAAGTTGCTACCCGCCTTCTTTGGAAGACGACACTTCATCCTATGCCGAGGACATGACTTTGATTCACGTGCGACAAGCGAGAGTTGGTAAGTCCGTAACTTTGCCCGGCACTGGGACTGGCTGACTTCCAAGTTGTGCAGAAACATCCCGACTCAACAGCAGTCCTCCCTGAGACCACCGCAGCAGCCTGTCAAGTTCCTGCCAGCGCTCTATCCATTCCAACCCATCACTTTGTGCACTGTAAATGGGTCTGTCCTTTCTTGAGGGTACCTTTCTTGGTGGTTTTAGCAGGAAGCCAACAGTAAAACTTTTTGGGGGGGTCCAATCCTCAAAAAGACGCACCCAAACGACCTTTCCATCATTCCATGCCCCCAACAAGTGCCCCCTGCCTGAAGGATCTGGATAGCTGACGCCAAACCATGGCCAAGCCCCAAAGAGCTGGCAGCACAACCTCGCAACCAAGCTCTTTTCAGGGCACCCATTTGTGGGTCGGTGTGAAGGGAAACCCAAAGGAAAGTCACCTTTTTCGGGGTCGAAGTCCCTATTTTGACACATACCCATATCAGGCTTTACATGCCTGAAAGCCGACGGCAGACTCTGTCATGACTTCCGGTCTAAGGCCGAAACAACAATGACCACGGTGAGCCCAAACCATGCTGCCGTCTCGTCAAAGAACGGTGCTGGTCTGCTGGCATCCTGGGAAACTTGTGGTCTGGCAGCGGGTGATCGCAGTGCTTCTGGTAGTGAAAATGTTCAAATTACCCTCCCATCCGTTAAACATGGAACCTGACTGAGGGCTCCCTGACTGGTCCTGGATTCCTTCTGAAGGGACCCTCTGGTGGGTTCCGTGTCAGTGGACAGGAGGGTATGGCGTTCTCCGCGTTCAGGTGGCCATGCTTTGTAGTTGTCAACGCTTCAGTGCGGCCGAGTCGACAGTCCTGCTTGCTGAAGCATGAGATCGCGTGGTGAACTCCCGGCTGAGCAGCCGGATCCAGTAGCAACCACTTCCTTGGCACCATTCCCCACCACATGTGTCAAGTCATTTGCTCTCTGACCTATGTCACTGCAGGACTGCAACCTTTTCAAAGCAGGGAGTTTACTGGGCTGGTCTCCTTGCCGTGCACCTGTCTTCTGGAATTGTCAGCCGCTTTGCTTGCATCCAAGTCTCTTGCCCCAGTATATTGGGTCTGGATCTTTGGTGCGGAAGCCTGGTGGATCTACAACTCTCACATGTTCACACCCTGACCTGGTGACATGATGTAGCTGGATAACCGCCATCCAGCAGGCAATGCAGCCCCCCCCCCGAAGCCTCCGTAGATGTAGCCTCAGCTTTGTGGCTGATGGGTTGCGCAACTTACCACGAAAAAGGACAACGATGAGCTGCCCTCGGCGAACTTGCGGCTGGGGCACAAATGTAATAGCCATACCTGGGAAGGTAAAGCGAGGGTCGTTTATGGTGGACGGCTCGACCCAAAGGTCCCCCCGTGAAGTGTCTGCCAAGTTGCGAATATGCCCTGCACCATGCGTCTTGGGAGCACTGATCCTGGCACATCGGCATACTCAAGACCTGATGTTAAATCTGCACACTAAGCAAAGAAGAAAAAAACATTTCGACGTTGCGCTCTGCAAGCGTTGAGTGTGCCAAGGAGTGCGCGGGCCTGACAATCTTGCTCCGTGAGGACGCTGCCAAAATACCGCGGAGTGTTGGTGTCCAGGCCAGCTTTGCCTGTTAAAACGGTTAAGAGGTTGTCATGTGGCCATGGGTCAAAATCCAAAAACCCGTACCCCCAGTGAACATCCCAATCCCCACTAAAAAAAACTAAAATGAGTGGTGCACCTACCCCAAAATGGTACCATTGGTTTTGACCCACAGCCATGTCGTTGGGTTGAAGATGTCTGCCCACAGCCTTCACATTTCTCGGATCCCTCGAAAGCATAGAGGGGCTTGGAGGCACTGTCTCCGATGCACCTTGAGCTGTGATCTGCGAATAAGGATTGCCAAGACAGCACTCTCACACTGCCAAGTGCTTTCTGCTGGACACTTAAGCTGCAACAAGAAACTGGCCCTCGATGCACCGGTCCCTGAAGGTCAGTGGGTTCCCATCATCGCAAGCCTGTCAGCTCATGTCTTTTGCCAACTGCTTCAGGAGCAAAATTCACTGCGCAAGTCGTTCACGGAAGATGGAAGCTGTGCTGCTCAGAACTGCACAAGTCATCTGACTCATTGCAAGCATGTGCCTCTCCCTCTGCAACAGGGCTGAAAACGCATTCACCAGTCCACATATCACAGGCCTTGCTGTCCCGAGCAAATCCAAACGACATCGGTGCAAATGAGGCATTGGTGCAAATGAGGCATGCAAGCATGATTGAATTGCAACAAAGCGACACCCACCCCTGCGCAAAAGTCCTGAAGTCAAGGACTGCAAGCCAGAGAGGTCGTGGGATAAACTTCCAACACAAGCTACCAGCGGCACATGCACAATTGCGGAGTGACAACCAATTTTGCCAATTCATTCTGACATCTTGCCCAGAACGCACGCATGGTCCGTGCTCACGCAAATCTTGCCAGCACATTTGTTCAAGACCTGAGGCGGAAATCAAGACAACACCTGCAACAAAAAGCGAACATGCTCACGCACTTCAATGCCACTCTGCTGTACGATAGTTGCTTCTTGGGGCTCAAATAGACTTGAATACAAAATGCCGCTGAGCGATCAAAGCTGTCGGCTGTTCTGCGGCAAAGTCCAGCATCGCAAGTGCCATCAACGGGTCCACCAGGCCTGAAGATCCCGACTCTCCCGCAAGTTGATTCGCGGCTGCTACACCTAACCCAGCATTGGCCGCCTTGCAACATGGTTGTGTTTCGCTGTGTGGCAACCGATGCGTATATGCTGGAGAGTGGCAAGAATGAAGCACTTTCCCGGCACTATCAATAAAACAGCCATTGGATGATATGTTTTAAATCGAAAACTGCCAGTCCCTGCGAAAAGTCACCCACCCACACATATATATATATATATATATAACATGACACGAAGAAACAAATCTGCCATCGCTGCCCATGTCATGTTACCATTCACTAGGCCCCTCGCTGGCTGCTGCAGGCAGTGCCATCAGGCAGGGCCTCGAAGACGCAGCTGCCAGTCGGCGGGTCGCAGGCGCCCTGGGGCGAAAGAGCCCAAGACTTGAGTCTCCGCGGCAAGCTGTTCAGTTGATTTGGGCCTGTCTTTGTTGAGGGTGCTCCTTTTTGGTGGATTTAAAGGGAAACCAGAAGGAAAAACCACCATTTTAGAGGTGCTCATACAAAAGACACTCCCAGTTCAGCCTGTCTCTTGCAAAACACCCTCCAATCCAGTGTCAAGTGTTTGACCCGCAGCCCTGGCGCACCCGAACTTTGGTCGTTGGCGCCAGGCACGAGTTCAGCGTGTTGCACCTTGGCCGTTCCAAGTGAGTTGGAATCCCGGCGACCGCCGCCCACCCGTTGGATCCACAATAAGCCAAAGAGCTGGACATCGTATCGCATGCACTTGTCCTCGATGCCAGTGCAGACCGCCGATTTACCTGACGTTCGACGGCTAGGCCACTTATATTCACAGATCAGGTTTTACCGCATCGACCCACCGGCAGCCTCTTATGCAAGCATGAATGTGTGCTAAGCTTATGAACAAGCTGCAAGTGTCGGTGTGCGTGTAGAAAAGACTGTCATCGCAAGGCGTTCCGTCTGGGAGCGTTGAGTAATAACACTGGCCATCACCTGCGAGCTGATAGATTGAGCCACAGGCTTCAGCCATCAAAACCACGCCAGGAAGCTGCCGAAGTATGTCACTATCAAAACCTGGTACCAAAGTGGTCTACCCAAAGCCATGCAATTAAAGAGTTCAGAGGGCGGCCGCAACAATTTCCGGATGGCACTGTCCCTTACTACCATTGATCTACCCAGGTTTGGATTGTGGCTCGATCTGATTCATGCGAGCCAGAAAGTGCCCCCACGCCTGGTGCACACACACCAACATTCTGGCAAGTGTCCGTGAGTGGGCAGGTGACTCCCTCGGAAGGCGTCCGCAAGATGCTCTGCGCGCATCACTCCGTCTGCAGCTAACAAATCGATGAACGCACCAAATGCGAAGCCTTGATGATGCAAAGATTGGCAGGACAATGCTTGTATTTGGCGCAGAATGTGCCCGGCCGATGGTTGAAGCAATTCCTGAGACATCTCTGGTAACTTCAGCGGCTCAGACCATGGTCTTGTCGACCCTTCAAGGTCCAGGCCGAGGAATTGCATCACCTCATTTGAAACAATCTGGTTTAAGACATTATATAGTCGCTGCAGTTTACAGGGTCGACCCCTTCTGACACAAAGCGGCCAGGTGCGCTTGTTGTTGCTACTCGTATTGACGAGCCGAAGTGGACCGACAAGTCTGGGAGGCTTGCCCTGTGCAGCCACGCGGCAATTGTCCGGCACGCCCTCCCAATTCAGTATCACAGTTTCGCCAACACAATGGTCAGGCTCTCCAGGTTGGCCCCTGCCAACTGGGTGGTTTCAGGAACCCAAATCCGCCGACCCCTTTCTCCAAAGGGAAGGCGCATGGGAAGGGTTTGTCTTTGTCCTTGTCCAAGTGATGATTATCATCACTTCACATCATCCGGATCATCATCATTACCGTTGCGCTCTTCTTTTTCATACGTTTCAAGTGTGCCGTTAGACCCGACTGGAAATGCAGAGGATGTGTTGTCATGATTGTCATGATAATTGCTGCTGATGCTGGGGATGCGTAGTGATGACTGTTGACTGCTGGCGATGCTGAGGATGCGTAGTGATGATTATCATCAGGATGATGATGATGATGATGATGACGAACTTAATGAGGAACATGATGATGAAAATGATGAGGATGATGATGATGATGAACATGATGATGAAAATAAATCATCATGAAGATGATGATGAAAGTGATGATGGTGTTCATCATCATCATGTTCATGTGCATGTTTGTTCATCATCATCATTTTCATCATCATCATCATCATCATTTGCATCATCACGTCACCATGTTCGTGGCGCTCTTCTTTTTCATTCACGTTCCAAGTGTGCCGTTAGACTCAACTGGAAATGCAGAGGATGCGTTGTCATGATTCAACGATGATGATGAACATGATGAGGAACATGAGGATGAAAATGATGAACATGATGAGGAACATGAGGATGAAAATGATGATGATGCTGAACATGATGATGAACATGATGATGATGTGATGATGAAAATGATGAGGGTGGCATGATCATGTTCCTTATCATGTTCATCAACCGTGGCTCTTCTTTTTCCTATAAGTTTCAAGTGTCCCGTTAGACCCGACTGGAAATGCAGAAGATGCGTCGTCATGATTGTCATGATAATTGGCATAGTGAGAAGTTAACTGCTGGTGATGCTGAGGATGCGTAGTGATGATCATCATCAGGATGATGACATTGATGCTGAAATTGATGATGAAAATGATGATGATGATGATGATGATGATGATGAACATGATGATGAAAATGATGATGACGATGATGATGATGAACATGATGATGAAAATGATGATGATGGTGATGATGATGAACATGAATGAAGAAGGTGGTGTTCATCATCATCATCATGTTCATCAACATTATCATTATTATTTTATCATCATCATCATTCTCATCATCATGTTCATCATCATCACCATCTTCATCATCATCATCATGTTCATCATCATCACCATCTTCATCATCATCATCATGTTCATCATCATCATCATCATCATGTTCATCATCATCATCATCATCATCATCATGTTCCTCACCATGTTTGTGGCGCTCTTCTTTTTCATATACGTTTCAAGTGTGCTGTTAGGCCCGACTGGAAATGCGGAGGATGCGTTGTCTTGATTGTCATGATAACTGCTGCTGATGATGCTGAGGATGCGTGGTGCTGATTATCATCAGGCTGATGATGATGATGATGAACATGATGAGGAACATGATGATGAAAATGATGATGATGATGATGATGATGATGAACATGATGATGAAATTATGTTCATCATCAAAACCGTGGCGCTCTTCTTTTTCATTTACGTTTCAAGTGTGCCGTTAGACCCGACTGGAAGTGCAGTGGATGCGTTGTGATGATTGTCATGATATCTGCTGCACACTTCGCATCCACAGCAACACATCGAAGTCTTGAGAAGAAAAAAAACGGCCCCCAACATGGTGGTGCTGCCCGAGTTTTCACGCACCCGGGGCACTTCTTGTAAAGTTCGACAAGGTGCTTATTGTCATGCGAATTTATCCCGCAGTGGCTTGTTTGAGATGCAGGGAATGCGTCGTCATAATTATCAGAACAACTGCTGGTGATGCTAAAAATGCAAAGCAACAATTATCATCATAACTGCTGGCGATATGGCGAGTGCATGGTAATAATTATCAGCATCCCTTATGTTGGGTAAAACAATGCATCATCAAAAACATCATCCTTGTCGTGCTGCTCTTCTTTTTCATATATGCTTTAAGTGTGCCGTTAATTGTCATAATTGTCATAACAACGTGCACTGTCAGCAAGCAGGGGCCGGCGGCACAGGGCGGCAGCCCTTGAATTTGAAAATCACCATTTCGGGGGTCACAATTTGTTTGAAACATACCCAGATCTGAAACAAGCTGAGTCCGGGAACCTAAAAGTAAATCAATGTGAAGCCCGGGGAAAGAAGGTGCGGGGTTGCCGTCAAGCCCAAGCCCCCGCATGCCGCTTCTTGCTCACGTCCAGACAGCCAGCGCGCTTGACGGAAGCCCATGTGGCAGGTGGCACGTCGTGGCTTTCGTCAAAACAGCGCGGTGGCTGAAAGAGTCGCGTGCAAGTCCTTTTTTGCATCTTCTGGCTGCCCGAATCATGTAAAAAGCGGCACGCAAGTGTTGGCCAGCATCGGCAACAGTTTCCGTCTTGCAAAGAGCGGTGCACCAGCATGTTTGGTCAGATTTCAGGTTTGCCTCAGCTTCCGTCGAAGCGGGCAAGCTGTTTTGGTCAGATGTGGCCGTGCCACTGTTTGCCAAGAGCGGCACGCATTTTCTGGTCAAATGAGTCAAATGCACATCTGTTCTGGTGAAGTCGAAAGGGCGCTGGCTGCCCGCAACAAGCCGCACGTAGTTTGAGCGAGAGAGACCTTCCATCCCACCTTTTGCCCAAGCTGTTTCGGTCAAATTTGACAGCAACTTTGGTTGAAAGGATGCTGGCTGCACAAACCAGGCCGCACCGTTTGCAAAAAGTAGCTGGGCACGCTGTTTTTTGTCAAGTTTCGCAATAGCGTTTGCTGGTCAGTTTGTGCTTTCAGATGTGTCATCAGTTTCTGAGGCACTGGCTGCCCAGACCCGCCTGTGTCACGTTCAAATGCGCGAGCTGTCTCGACGCCACACAGCTCGCAAGTTTTAGTCAGACTTGGCTCGGAATTGGTATCAGTTTGTCGAAACGGGGCTGGCCTTCTTTCGAAAGGACGCTGCCAGACTCAGGCACGCTAGCCTTTTGCACAAATTTGACAGCTTCCGTCGAGGGGGCTGGCTGCCCGGACGCTGCCCCACTCTTTGCCAGAAGCAGCACGCTGGCTTTCTTGCCATCAGCTTCCGCGCCAACCCCCACAGCCCCAAAGTCCCACAGGCACGCGGCGCCATATCGCTCCGCCAAATCCTACCGCCGCACCGCTCCAGCGCACAGTCCCGCGCTGCCGTATCCCTCCAGCGCCAGTCCATTTCGGCGGCAAAAAGACACACACACATCAGTCTAGCCACTTCCGACTGCGGGCCAAATTCGGACACATCCACCCCAAATCAAAGATGCCTTTGGGTAAACATGTTCACTGCTCAACATGTGTATGCCTCTTCGCATACCTTGCCCTGCGACAGTTGAAAATGCACTGGCCTCAGCTTCCAGCAATCGCACGCATGCCAGTTGCCACATTCGGCCTGGCATGCCTCGGCTGAGCTGTGTGGCTGGCTTTATATGTAAAAACGTCATGACCGAGAAATCCAAGGTGCGTCATTGTTCGCACCGTAGCAGGTGCCTACATCGATCAATGCCGTTGGGCATCGCAAATTCTGAAAATCACTCGCCAAAGCCTGCCAGTTGCAGCTCGCTGATCACTCAATGTAGCATGAATTGCATGAAAACATGATCCAGTGGAGACCGCTGCGCAGTGTCTCTGCCTGACACGTTGGTATCGCATCATCGTAGTTGACGGTGGCCGCTAACAGTGTAAAGAGACATTCATCATACCTTGTTGCCCAAATGTGCCACAAGACTGACAAGTGTTTGTTGCCTTTTGGCAAGTGCTTCTGTTTCTCCTGCTTCCACAAGACTTGGCGCCAGCTTGGCCCGACATTACGTGTTTAATCACTTCCGATTGGTCTATTTGAGAAAAGGCACATAGCTGAGGCAATGGACACGCAGTCCTGACCTGATCAGTACAACTTACAACTCGAAGTGCAAATTATATGAGTCAATTCCACAAGACGTCAAGCAATGAAGTACCCCAAGAGACAATCCGGGTTGCAAGCAAGCGGCACGAAACGTTGCCTCAGCTGTCAAGCTCCAAGCTTCAAACATGCGGACAGTTTGTCGGGGTGTGTTTTTGAGGGAGCCCGATATAAGGTTGGCTTAAACGGAGCTTGAAAGGAAAACCGCCTTGTTGGGGGTCCACATCCCAATTTGGCACGTACCCTTGTGGAGTACCCGGTGCATCCGTTGTACTCATGTGACTCCTAAGCAGAGGACATGCCTGTGAGGCAGAGGTCTGGAAAAAGGCGCAGCGGGCGGCATCAGCACCCCATGTAGTCAACCTGAGTACGGAAACACTTCAAAAATTATCAGGGTGTGGTTTGACCAATTTCAGATTGGCGATATTAACCAAAAGGGTTTTGTCACCAAGATTAATTTCTTTGTGCGGGTCCCCAAAATATTGTGCCAAGAGGCTCCATGCATGAATTCCTGGCTTCCCTGGCAATGGTTCCCCAGCAATGATCCGTGTAGCACGGCGGCGGGGGCACCTATCGCTCGATGGAGCCAAGCAAACGACTCGTTGCCGGCTGTTCTCTTTGACTCGGGCTAGGATATCCTCAAACCAAGGCTACGGTTTGAGGAGAAAACTCTGGCTCCAAAAAAAACGACCCGAACATCTGGTGCAGAAGTAGTGGTGGTGGTAGTGATAGTGGTAGTGGTAGTGATAGTGGTAGTGGTAGTCGTAGTGGCAGTCGTGGTTATGGTCGTAGTCGTAGTCGTGGTCGCAGTGGCAGTAGCAGTGGTAGTGCTAGTGCTAGTGCTAGTGCTAGTGCTAGTAGTAGTAGTAGTAGTAGTAGTAGTAGTAGTAGTAGTAGCAGTAGTAGCAGCCGTACTGGTATCAATGACAGTAGTAGTACTATTATCTTGCTGAGTGAGCCTTTCCTCCTACTTCGCACTAACTTGCTAACTGCCCCTTCTTCCAGCTCCAGACCGAGAATTAAATCAATTTCTCACTTACTAACTTGCTGATCTACTGGCTTACCTAGCTTGCTAACTTCCAAACTTGCTAACTTCCTAGCTGCCCCTTCCTCCAGCTCCGCGCTAGACACCAACGTTTAACTTGCTACTCTTTCCTCCAGCTCCACGCCGGCCACCAGCTTACTATCCGCCATTTCCTTCAGAGTGCACAGGATACCAACCTTCTCAACCCCTACTCCTTCTCCTTTCTGTCTGGGATGTGCTGTTTCATCCGCAATTGCTTGTTTTGATCCTGTTGCTTTTCTTGTTCGATGCACATGCCCTCAAGCTAGGGGTTCCATTTGTTGGGCAGTTTTAAGGGAAACCAAAAGGAAACCGCCTGAAGTGTCCAACTCATTGAGAAACACCCATATGGATGTGCGTATTGCGTGCTGCAAATTTGCTCACGGTCTTTCAAACACGACACCAGCCTCAGGACAAAGTGGTAGGCCAGTGTAGTTTGCCACGTTAACAGCTGTGAAGTTGTCTGTACCTTTCAAAGAAAGTCAAACTTCAAAGTAGCAGGATCAACCGGCATCTGGGGTCGCCACAATTTGGAGTGCTGTTTGTTCCGTTGGTGGTGTTGTTGGCACCTGACATCAGATTCAGAAATAGTGCTCAAGCCCTCTCCAGTTGCTACATGCCTCACAAGTTGGGTCAAAACGGTTCGTTGCCAATCGAGGTCCACAAGTGTCACAAGGGTGCGTAGCCGGGACCGTGCCATTCTGGGCTAAGGCAACAGCTATCTTGTGCAGTGATGCAGGGCCTCAAGCGAGACATAGGAGCGCCAAACGTGTCAAGCAGGCTCACCCCGCATAGCCGTCAAAGGGGCGCGTGGCTCTTTCTGACATGAAGAACTTGGTAAGTGCCAAGTGCCAAGAGCCAGACAATATAAAGACCCATAGCGTGAAACTTCTGAGCACCTGCAAAAAGAAGCGGTGCAGCGGGCATGCTCAAACTCATCTGCTCAGTGCTTGACTTGGCTGCAAGGCTGTTCTCTGGGAACAGGACCGCTGGACCAATCTCGACTCCAACTCCAAACTCGCGCAAGCTTTCTTTTGTCTTTGCCACACAGCACAGGCCGGCGAAATTCAGTGTGCCTACCTGAGCGGAGAGACATGAGGGCCCCAGCACGACCAACTTGGACAAAGCTTTGCATGGTACGTCGCAGGCATTGCGTCCAAACAGGGGGCACCAACAATTTGCGACTTTCCTTTTGAACTCCAAGGACCCTCAAACAACACCGACCCACTTTGCTGATCGCAATCAATCGGGGCTGCCGAGTGCATGCGCCAAAGGCCATTTATCATATCATGCGACATCCTAGCAGAGGCTGTGAGACAATTCACCTTGGGTGAAATTTCTTCGTCCGACACATGTGCCGTGCAAAGTGGTACTAGTACAGCGTGTGACACTCCTCATTCTGAGGTCTTCACAAGTGCAAAAGTTTCACAAGTCTGAGAACCTCACACACGAATGCTCTGAACCGCACCCTCGTCTTTTCCGAGCGATGAGTGGCTGGCTGTATGGAAAGCAGACATGTTGCTGCTCATGATGCCAGCGGCAGTGGCAGTGAGGACGTCGCTGTGCGAGTTGATGACGGTTGCAAAGCGTTCTGAGCGTAGCATCAATGGGGTTAGCTCTTCCTCTGGGAAGCACATGTCTGTGACAAGGCTACCACGCTCATCCAATACCTCAACCGCGCCGACCAGCAGGATCCCAAAGATCTGCAGGTATTGCCAAAGTGGGCCCCCATGGTTGGCAGAAAGGTTGCAAAACTTCTCACTGCTGATTCCGAAGTAGTAGCAGGTCCCCAAGTCCGCAGTCATCCGACCACGGTGATGCCAATCAGCCCAAAAGCATGGCAAGCACAGCACATCGCTTTCTTTTACACTCTTCCTCACCATGTCCATGTATTGGGAGGAAGCTTTCTGCTTGGCAGAATAGCTCATGCTTCCCGATTCAATGACATAGACCTCTTTGCAGTCAGTCCCGGGCATGAAAGCATCCTGGGCGGGTGTAGCAGCATGTTCGGTCATGGCATGGTGGCACAAGTTCCGGAAGAAGTTCTGATCCTCAGAGTGGCTCCACATGGGCCAAAAGCCCAAAGCCAGCAACGCGGTCATGTACATCTCCTCGTGCATGGCCAGCCTCAGCCTTTCGGGCATACCCTGCAATAGTCCTACCTCCGCTTCCATCAGCCTCACCTCGAACAGGCCCTTCTTCTGGATGGCCTCTTGAACTTTGCCATAAAGGTCAGTGGAGAGATTCCTTTCATGGGCGATGGCAAACGCACAGCAGGGCTGGGCGGGATCAGGGGAATGACTCCACCACGCAAAAGTGGCAGGCAGGAACATACATACAGACATATACATGGTGGTTGTTCTAAACTCCTTTGTCTCGAAACGACCATTCTTCGCGGAAAAAGAGTTGCTGTCGCGAATCTTTCACGGATTCATCTCGGCGCACTTCTAACTGCTAGAGCCAGAAAGTCGCAACTTGAAGCTCCAGCTGGAAAGTCAAAACATTTCAGTACCAAGTTAGTACACTGACTAGCGCGACGCACAGAAAGTACCCCCTTGCTTGCCATTGAAGCCTGCGCTTTCGCGCATCTTTCGCGGATGGTCACCCACTTTTCAGAGTGTAGAGCTACTGACCAAGAGCACACACGCACGCACACTCGAGGTTGCAAAAACACCTCTTGTTTTTAGAGTTGCTTTTCTGGGGCTATCGTTTTCTGACTACGCGTCTAGAATTATAATAACATGAAAAGAGGAATAAAGAAAGAGAAAGAAGACAAACAAAAGAAAAGAAAAAGATAGGAAAGTTATTCCTGATCCAATAGATGACAGGTAATTCCAGGAATGAAAAGAATCTGGAAAGGATGGGATTCTTCTTGGCATAACATTAAATCCTAAGAAATGCATTGGGGAAAAGGTAAGAAGAATAGCAATACATATTAAATTGCAATGATAAAGAGAGAGTGCACATGAGGATGAAACTAATAAATTCTTAGTACCAACAATCTTTTCCCCATTGAAGCTTATTCCAGAGAAGATAGCAATTATAGCTCCTAAAGAAAGAACAAAATGAAAATGTGCTACAACATAATATGTATCATGTAATCCTAGATCCCCTGCAGCATTTCCTAGAATATATCCTGTTGACCCACCTATAGTAAACATTAACAAAAAGAGAAGAAAGAAGAATACAGAAGTAATTCTAAGGTGTAATAAGGATGGATTGGAGAGATATGTACAAAGCCAATTCAACATTTTTGTACCAGTTCGTAAAGATATTAAGATTGTAACTCCTGTAAAATAAGCTCCTAAACCTACAGGATACATATGATGTCCCCAAACAAGACTTCCAAGAAGAGAAATAGATGACGTGGCAAAGATCCTTGAAGCTCCAGCTCAGGACAAAATTTAGTACACGAAGTACACTTTGGCAGCAGCTCGAAAATTGCAACTGTTCAGTACAATTGTAGTACACGAAGTACACTTTGGCAGCTCCATCCCGCAAATCGCAACTTTTCAGTACAAGTGTAGTACACAAAGTACACTTTGACACCTCCATCTTGAAAATCGCAACTTTTCAGCACAAGTAAGTGTAGTGCTAAGTACACTCTGGCCTGTTTGTTGCCCAACAAGCTGTGTTTTCCAAGCTGACAAACGATCGGTTTCACTGAAAAATCCTTATCGCTTTGCAGTGAGGCGTTCCAGCTTTGGACTCAAGGGACCTCTGAATACTAAGTTTAAATCAACGGGCTTTTTTACACTTCGAACATGAACCCGCTACCCGCCAAGCAAGGCATCAAACTGTAGCCTCACCAGGCTTTGTCACCTCAAGGAGCAAGCTGCAAAAGCAACAGAGGGGATAATTCAGCCAAGGAATATTCTACAGAAAACACACACACACACACGCTGCTTTCATATCACACTGATTTTCAAGATACAGAAACGCAAAACTTGCGCGGACAAAAAGGAGTTACTTGCACAACTCCATCGGGATCGTTCGCGGATGTATCTCAACCAATACCGATGGTCGCCAAATACTAAACGGAGGGGTATTTATTCTAGGATGCTTTTTCATGTTTATGTTGTGTTTTTTGTGTGTGTGTTTTTTCCGCTTTTGGCTTCTTGGCTTCTTGGCTTCTTGGCTTTTTGGCTTCTTGGCTTCTTGGCTTTTCGGCTTCTCGGCTTCTCGGCTTCTTGGCTTCTTGGCTTCTTGGCTTTTTGGCTTTTTGGCTTCCCGGCTTCTGGGCTTTTCGGCTTTTTGTTGGTTTATGCGGCTTTTGGTGCCTTTTTGGCTTTGGCTTTTCGCATCCTCTGCATTCCCAGTTCCTGTTCGGCAGGTGGCGTTTTGGCTTTTGCGTTTACGCGGCTTTTGGCGGCTTTTGGCGGCTTTGGCTTTTCGCATCCTCTGCTTTCACAGTTCCTCTTTGGGTTTTTTGGCTTTTGCACCCTTTCATTTGTTTTTGGATTTGGCTTCCCGCATCATCAGCATCACCAGTTCCGCCCTATTTGAATCATCACTTCTTCGAACATCATGGAAGGGAAGCCCCCCCCAACCCACCCACTACTGTTTAGATTGTCTGCAGAGTAATTGCACCCCTATTTGAATCAACACTTCTTCCAACATCATGGGGGGGGCTGCCGCCCCCCCCAACCCCCCCGCTACTTTTTAGATTTCTTGCAGATTGAATTGCACCCCTATTTGAATCATCACTTTTTCGAGCGTCCCATTTCGCGAGAAAATGCTGCAAAATACGCTATTCTAGGTAATCTGTGTAGTCCATGTATGTCTGTATGTATGCACTTCTTCGAACATCATAGGGGAAGCCACCCCCGCCAACCCTCTCGCTGCCTTTGAAATTCTATCGCCCTCTCTTGAATCATTGCACCCCCACTTGAATCATCACTTCTTCCGACATCATGGGGGGGGGTGTCCCCCCGAACCCCCCGCTTTTTAGATTTTCTACAAAGATTTAATTGCACCCATGGGGGGGCTGCCGCCCCTCCCAACCCCCCCCCAACTCCCCCCCCCTACTTTTTAGACTTTTTGCAGAGATTGAATTGCACCCCTATTCGAATCATCGCTTCTGCGACATCATGGGGGGGGGCTGCCGCCCCCCCCCAACCCCCGCGCTACTTTTTAGTGTTTTTTTACAGGGACTGAAATGCCCTCCTATTTGAATCATCATTTTTTTGACCCCGTCAACCCGCCAGCTACTTTTTCGATTTTGTTATCCACGCTTTGTTGGTGATGCTAGGGATGTTGGTCGGACATGCGGGGGATGTTGAAAACGATGCTGGGGATGTTGACGGGCTAGTGTAAAATGCGTCAATGTCGCGAGAAAATGCAGTAAAATACAACATTTTACTGGCCCGGACAAAAAGCGGGAAAAAAAAGAAAAAGAAAAAAAACACGCACCCATACTAAACTCCTTACAAGGACCTTTAGAACGAGTCCCACATATGTGTATATATATATATATATAAAATATGTGTCTTCATACCGCTATGGTCAACTTTCAATTTGTTGCCTGCTGTCACGGAAAATTGATGAGTAACACCCAAATACCAGTGAGCTCTGACATGTCATCCCCTCTGCTCATGTGCATCATGGCGAATAGCCGCCGTTGCTCATACTCATATGTGTCAAAATAAGGGGACCCCAAAAAAATACGGTTGTCTCTTTGAATTTCTTCTAAATCAACCTGAAACACCAACACACACACACACACCCATTATGTGCAATCATTGAGACGACCCACCGGATGGTCCTCTCATTGAAGAAGCGCAAAAGCCTGGACTGCTGCTGGTGCTCTTGCAAACGCGCGGACCGCAAGGAGCTCACAGTGCTTGTAATGGAGCTGATAAATGACCTCAGTGCTTCGATCCCTGGCTAAAAGTTGATTCAGCGGATAAAGAATATCACAAATCCCTCTGAACTCGAGTCCAGGGGATGAAAGCGGACTGCCACGTGGCGAGAAGACTCCCATGGCCAGGAGGATGACCCACACTGCGAAAAACCTCGGCGTGGTCAGCTAATGCTGCTGAAACTAACTACTCGTACCCTTCCTCCAACAATCAGGAAAGCTGATGTGCGGGTTGGAAGAATACAACTCATCTCTCCACTGGCATCGTGGCTGGAGTGAGGATGCTTGAGAACACAGGGCGAAGCTAACGATTTGCACTGATTCAATCTCAAACTATCACGAGCAATCAGCCTTACCTGATAAGATCCAACAAAAGCCCATTGCAACAAGGCACCTTTCCACCGCATTGTCTGGTGCGATGTTGTTGGTGGCCGGTGTGAACTGAGTCAGGGCCCAATGGATGGATGCGGCATAGGATTCGGCGAAGCCGGCTTCTTCAATATCTGAGCGTTGAATCCAGCTTTTGCCATCCACTTGCAAGGAGCCAATGCCATACCAGCAGCAAGCAATTAGGTGGTTGATTGCCAGAATCATCATGAGCCCTGCCACCACTTTCATGACCATAAAGGCATGTGCCGACAAAAATCGGTTGGCCAGTAGAGTGAGGGCTTGTTGCAGTTTGGCCACGCGCAACAAGCGCAGCAGCCGCAGCAGCCGCAGGGTCCGCAAAAAGCGAGCGGATTTGAGGCCCTCATGCACTTCACTCAAAACGAGGAGCATGACATCAATGGAAATGACGGTCAAGTCAAGTAGAAACCAGGTGCGAAAATACTGCTTGAACAGAGCAACAGGGCGCAGCTCAACTTTCCCGTCGATCTCCCTCCCAAAAATCACATGACTGGGCATGTCGCAGATCCAAAATGCAAAGGTTACATTGCCGAATTCAGTGAGGAACTCGATGAAGGTTGGGATGTCGAACATTTCCAAGGGAATCGTGATCAGGTCCCAAAGAATAAACAGACTGCCCACGAAAGACCATATCAGTTGTATGCTGCTGCGGGGTCCAACAACAAACCTCTGCAAGCAGGAGCTGTCCTTGAGTGCATCATTCATTCTGAGTGTGGAAGTAGAGGCGGCAACTGAAATCCGATAGTTTCTGTTGCGGTGAAGCCTTGAGGCCTCTTGCAAACCAAGGCTCCAAGCAGATCGCATCTGGAGACCATCCTTTGGAAAGAGCAAAGGCTCTACATCATTCAATTTGTCAACATCCTCTGGCTCATCTTCATTTTGTTCCTGAGCGTCCAGCAGCTTTTCTGCAAGCCCGGCCCACTTGCTGACCACCTGGGGACAAGGGTTCTCCATCACATGATCCAGGTCTTCCGCATCGCTTTGCAACTCGAGGGAGTCGCCTTTGATTTCGCCCAAGCCAAATTCATAACGTTCACTGCCACGAGGTTGCACCTGGCCTTGCATCTCGCCCTGCAAAAGCAAAATAGAATTTCGCAAATGCTCCGTGTCGGTTTGATATTGCGTGAGGAGGGACATGTAAAGTTGCTGGAGCTGCGCAGCCAATACCTCCGAATACTTGCTTGCCGGCCCGGATGTCGGGCTAAGTGGAAAGTTCAGCATGGCTCTACAGGCCAAAGCGACACTGAGATCTAGGTGCTCCAGCCGCTGTGTGTGTGTGTGTGTGTGACGTGCGTGCGTGTGTGCATGTGTGCATGCGCATGTGTAGTGCTCATGCTATCAAAATGTCGATGCAGTGCAACATCTGCCCTCTCAAAGTCACGGCGGAAGGAAAGCATTTAGTGCCAAGGAATCACACAAATCCACACATGCACAGGAGTCCGATGCAACCCGTGTAGAACGTATGAGCCATGAGTCCAAAAACGCTGTTTCTGTGAAGACCATGTGAAAATTAGTAAGTCCCGTAGTTTCTGGAAGAAACTGAGTAAGTTCGCCCTATGTCGCTCTCGAATGGACAGAAGTCTACTGAAACTTCGGATCGAACCTCAGATTGCATTGGATGGAAAGGCTAAGGCCGCGCAAAACGCATGAACATGTGCATCCTCGCATGGAAGCTCTTTGGCTAGCCAAAACTTGCACTTGGGCCTGACGGAGCATGCCTAGGCCTGGGCTTGCGTTTCCATCCGCTGCTCCCAACTCTTGAGGTTTCGCAGCGGCAGCACGAGCAGCGCCCCGGCGCCGGCGGCGAAGGTCAGGACGCTGAAGTAGGGGCCCCAGCCCAGGGACTGCACCACGCGGCTCAGCGGCAGGCCGCTCAACGCCGCCCCGAAGTAGCCCACCCAGCCGATGAAGCCCGTGGCCGTGGTGCTCCAGGCTCGGGGCGCAGACTCATTGGCCACCAGCGGCAGCAGCAGCTGCGCCCCACAGAGGAAGTGGCCCAGGCCCAGCAGCAGCATGTACTGGAGCCACGGCACCTGGGGGCAGTGCCGCAAGAGGGGCAGCAGCACCAGGGTCGACAGGAAGTAGAGGCAGACCACCTTGGCGCGCTGCCCTACCTGGCCAGCCCCCGGCTTGGCACGGCGCAAGAAGAGGTCCGAGAGGCTGCCTGCTGTGAGGTTCCCCAGGAAGCCACCCAGCTCGAAGCCCGAAAACAGCGCCGCTGCCGTCGTCGCGCTCATGGAGCCACTCTGCATGAGATAGAAGATGGCCCAAACACTGAGGCCTTGCCGACACCTCAGGTAAGCCAAATCAACACAACACATCCTCATCCTCTGAAACGCCCCGGCTCCGAGCTCCTAAAGCCTGGTACTGAACCTCAAACCGTTGCTTTTCACAAGCTGAGCTCTGCGCACATACACCAGCATGTAGGCGATGCCTAGCGCCCATTGCACGGGGTTCAAAAGGATGCCTTCCATGAGGCTCACCTCAAGACCAATCCGATCAACCTTTGAGTCACAGACTCAAACTAACCTGAAGCTTGCATTGCTCATTCTTGCATTTGGGTTTATCTTTCTTGAGGGAACTGGTGGTTGTCCTTTTGGTTTCCCTTTAGATCCATCTGGCACAGGCCCCCAATTTGGGTAAGTTGCAAAATGGGACAAACAAGGGTGTCCCTTTGAGCAAAGCTGAAAAAGTGCACCCTCCCAAAAAGCAAAAGAAGGCCCTCGCCGGTTTCTGCCTTTTGACTCCCGCCTCCGGCTCCGGCTTGACCTTCTTGGTGGTCTTCTTGGTGTTCCCGGCACCCGGGCCATCGCTCATGGCCAGGAAGCACAGCACCACGGTGACGAGGCCCAAGCAGCCCGGGCCCAGCATGCCGTAGCGCCAGCCCAGGTTGCCCGCCAGGGTCCCGGCGAAGAAGGGGCACAGGAAGCCACCCACGTTGATGGAGGCGTGCCACACGGACCACCAAAAGCCCCGCTCCTTGGGGTCGAACCAATTGGTGATCATCTTCACGCACGGCGGAGCTGCAAGGCCCTGGAAGCAACCGTTCAGGAGCCAGAAGAAGGCAAACTGTGGGAGAGTGGAGCTGAGGCCAAAGCCGATGTTCAGTAGGCTGCAAACCAGAAGTCCCAAAGCAAAGACTCGCTTGGGACTCATAAGGTCTCCAAGAAGCCCACCGAGGAATCTAGATGAACCATAAGCGAGTGGGAAAATGGATTGCAGTTGGCCGATTTCGGTAAGTCCCTTCCACCCCATAGCTTGACGCAGAACTGGAGCAGTGTAGCTCAGGCTTTGCCGGGTGAAGTAGCAAACCGAGTACCCGAAGAAGCATGCCCAGAAGGTGAACCACTTCCCCCACACCGGGGAACTTTTCTTCTCCGCCCGCAAGCGAATCCGAGGGCGGGCCCGGGCCTCCGTCCATCGGCCAAAACCCCGCGCTTGGGGAGGTGCAACGAATGCACGAGTGGGCTTTGCCAACACAGGCAACGGCCCAAAGGGCGCTGAGACCACCAGAGCCATTCGGAGAAGAAAAAAAAAAAGAAAAAAAAGTGTTCGGAGAAGACTCGATATGTGATTGTCACCCGTTGAAACGTCTCAGTTTATGCTCATCACTCTTGCTGCAGAACAACGCACCTCCCTCTTGTCTCAAGCGGCTGCAGATCATGGACTGGACAAAAAGGCCAACAGTTGGGTTCAGACCTAGAGATGGCTGGGGGTTGGGCACTGAGGCTCCTGCCCCGCCAGTCTGGAGTGAGCCTGCAAAAGCACATCTCTCAAGCAAAGGTTAGAATGAATCCAAGTGCCCCCAGCAAGACATGTCAATGTCACTCAATGATCTCCAGTGCGCTTATCCAGTCTTGAGCCACTGGCATCACAGGCCAGTCTGCAATGGCCCGGCATCGTCTGCGATGTTCCGCCATGGCGCCAGTGAGCTATACAGTGAATGTTGACAGGGGCCATACTCGGAATTGTGCTGTGCAAGAGAAAGTACATATCTCGAAGGAAGTGTCAAGTTTTCTGTTCGCAATGCTTCTGGCACGCTGCGAAGCAATCTACTGCTGCGCTGAACGAAAAAGAGAGCCAATTGATGTCAATGTTGCACCGTACCCCGGTTGCGAGACATCACAGCCGACTGAGACACCAACTCAAGCAATTTGAAACCAGCACGTCGCCTTCCCTGCGAAGAAGTTGCTGGTAGATGTCATGAATCGATGCCTGGCAGCATTTCCATGGCAACGGGTCACCCCTGCTGCCCTGTCATCCAGCCTTCTACGAGCTGCCGAGGAGCGCTCATTGACGGCTGCCATGGCCAGTACATTTGGCTCAGCTATTTAGGTCGTGGGTCTTAGGTATCTTGCACCTGTCTGCCAAACGTCTCTCGGCGGCAAATGGACTCCATGTGCGCCGTTGCTCCAAGCAAACAACCTCCTGCAGGCTTCCCAGGATCTGCCAGCAAGCTCGACATTGTGAGGCAGCTCCGCGTGAAAATCCCTATCAACGACTGATCCACAGGCAGCGCTTGCTCTCAGGTTGTCTCATGCACTGATGACTTCCAAAGCCAAGCATTCCCGCAAACATGAACACATTGCAAGTCCGGCGCAACGAGTCGGATTTTCAACCAGGGCTTCATTCGGGAGATCGTCCCTGGGTGAGACAAAGCTGCCGGCCAGCACCGCTGCAGCGAGCGGCGTCTTAGTTGGCGGCAGCAATTTGTACATCTCGAGCTCTGGTACTCATGGCACAGCGAATGGCGCATCTGGACTCGTTGGACATGGTAAAACGAAAAAGACCAGAAACCAAGCAAATGGAGGAAGCAACCACCGTCACTGGCATCGCTAGAAGCGCACCCGCGCGCGGGTGCGAAGCCATGCCTTTTGCCAGCATTTTAGTCTTCCAACGCTGAACAGTCCTTGAACTCACCATTTTTCTGCCAGTGAGCCTGGCCACTTGATGCGCGCTTAGGTTGCAAGCGGGCAAAGCAATACAGGAAAGCCGGAAGCAGCTTGTCATGCCGGGAGTGCATAGAAAACCTTGTAATACATGTCATAGTGGATAACATGTGCAGCTCGTCACAAATAACATGCTGAATATGCCATCAATGCGTGCTGTTTGTTATGCTTATATACATATGCCAATCTCATATACCCAAATCAATACTAAGGGTTTTCAGCACAAATGAGTTGCAGGCGAGGCAATCAAACCAATGTCCCAGAGATTGTACAAACCGCTGGATCTGCAAATACCAGTCTTGGTTTGATCTGCGAAGCTTGCCCAGCCTCCACCGTCATTGAAAAGTGGGCCTGCTTGATGTCTAGCAGCTTCAACACCTATGCACAAGCCTGTCTGCATGTCCATCGTTAGAACCAGCCCATGGCATTGGTCTTTTGATTAGCAACTACTTTCGCCAAAAATCGGCAAGGGCCTGCGCTGCATCAGCAGAGAGCTCCTGTGACCGTTGCAACCTTTGAGTTGGATCGCGCTCCCCGGCTCCTTCCCAGCGGTGCAAACGGTGTGCTCACCAAGGAGATGAATCTGGCCCTGGCATCCAGAAAAGCTTCGCCCAGGATCCATCCCGTCAAGGCAGACTTAAGCCCCGAAACTTCTTTTTTGGAGCATAAACCAATAAAACCCCCGGGTTTACGTGGGGGGTTCGCAAATTGGTGCACCCCTTCTTGGGTGCTTTTCTCGAGAAAACCAAAGGAAGCGAGCCTTTAAGTGGCTCCCCTGGCTCCCCGAATTTTGAGAAACACACCGACCCGTGCACCGTGTGGGTCCTTCAAACGGAACTCTGCAGCCAATTGACTACACACCGACCTCCTTCAGCACGGTGGGCAGTCCGAGCTGGCGAAGATGAGCCTCCGAGTGCAGAGATCACGAATCAAACGCCGAAGAAGCAGCCTCCCTCCAAGTGGGTGCGCCTTTGTTGGAGTTGGTACTCCCGTTTTTTTGTGGTTTTAAAGGGAAACCTAAAGGAAAACCGAAGCCATTTTGCGATCTTACAAAAAGACACATTGGTGGCTTGCTTTGGTGGCTTTTGGGGATTTGAACCCCACTTCCTTTTGAAGCCAAATGGGGAAAATACCCAAACCACCAATCCAAATCACCAATTCGGGGATGTCTGAAACAAGACACGCCTCAATGGAGTGTGGAAGGATTGCCAAAGCATCTGTACCTGACACATATCAGATGTGGCAACAAGGACATTGATGGCATGTGAGTGCAGCTCCAAATGGATTGCAGACCCCCTTTTGGTTGGAAATTAAAGGGAAACCTAAAGGAAAACAACCGTTTAGGGGACAACTAGTTTAAGAAACCCCCACGTAAGCTCTTGTCTCTGTGCCTTTGGGTAGGACTACAGTGTCTGCCGCAGTAGCACCACTGCGGGCAAAATCCTCAGCAGGGCGTGCAAAGGAGTGAAGCCCTTAAACAGTCATCTGAAAAAAACACCAGTGCCATGAACGGCATTCACTTGCAGAGAGTTCCTGTCACAAGGAAACTGGCTGTAGCCAAAGACCTGCTTATCTGCGTCCGTCCATGTTGGACATGTTTATGAAACACTCAAAGCAGCATGTCTCTAGGGAGGCAGGCACTCGGCCGATACTCAGCAAAGAGCTTCTCCACCTGCCCATTTTGCCAGCCAAAATGCTGGTACCTCCTCTCAGGATGCGCTCGCGCCTCTTCCGGGCTCTGGTTGGTGAAAAGCAGAGCCTTCAGCAGGGGTCTTTGTTTTTGCGACCCCTAGCCTTTTTCTTGGGCGCATAAACCAAAATGGAGGTCGAATACAGGTTTGGGGTTGAAACCAGGGTCCCTCTTCAGCGGCCATTGGCTGTTCAAGTCCGACCTTTGCGTCAGCCCTCAGGACGCACACACACACACACACCAAACAATGTCGCGCGGCTCAAGATCCATGTTCCAGCTGGCCTGACGCAAGCCCTCAGCCCCAAAGCCCCCAGGCTCAGTCGACCCAAAGCCCCAGCCCAGCCCATGTCTATGCTCCATTGCTGTTGCAGTGCCGCCCTACAGCCAGCTTTGAGTCCTACCCAACACAGCTCATGGCCCAGCTTACGCAGCTCAACACAGGAACGTTTGTTTTTTTGGCCTGCCAGCTGATGCTCAGCCCAGCCCTGGTCTGGCCACTGGCGGAAGATTCAGACTTCGGCCTCAGCCTCAGGCTTGAGTCGCAGTGTCACTGTCCTCTGCTGCCGTCGAGCTTCTTCCAGCCACCTCGTTGCCTTGTTCAAGCTCCCAATGCGTTGCCCGCCAGACTCAGCCCAGCCCCCGCCAGCTCCAGTTCAGCAGTTCAGCTCCCTTCCCAGCCGCATTTCTTGGCTGCCTTCATTCTTATGGTTCTGTTGCTACTCCTTTTAACTGCAACGACGTGGACTCTTGAACGTCCGAACAATCAACACACTTCGGAACCCCGGCCGTCTTCGTGCACTCGGTCTCATCTGGGGATCAAGCACACTGCCCAGAGATCATCTCTGCTATCTTGTGTATGTTGTCCTCTCGCGCGAATACAAATTCCAAAGATCAAGCAACTAGAAAATCCGCCACAAATTCGTCGCCATATTCAGCAGCAACATGTCCTGGCACTCGCTCTCTGGGCTCGTGCCCAGGGCTGTCTGCATGACCTGCAGGCAATTCACGCATTCAGATTTCAAATCCTGCGCAGCATTTCACTTGTTTACACTCGTGTACCAGAAACACAGCGTTGTCACATTCAACTAGTGCCTGCCATGCTCAAGTCTGATGCGAAGAGCCATAATACCAAGAGCAGCTGTTTTGAGATTCATGCGAAACTCAAATGCAAACTTCTGCTGCACCCTAGAATTGCCTTGTTCTTGGCGCAAACTAGCTTTCCGGGTCTGAGCCTCTTTCTCGTCTCCTGACCATGCGAAGCCAAAGTGAACTTCAGCATCCCTCCAGATCGGTGTGAAGGGCACCACGCAAGACTCTCGGCCATGTTGCCTGCCTGTATAAATTGGTTCCGCTCATTCTCAATAGATACCAAGAATACTCTGGCGAACTTTTCGCACGACCTCCACGGGCAGCGCACACGCGCTGCGAACCACTTGGCACCTAGGACCTTGCCCTCAGTCAAAACAAACCATATCTTAGCAACTGGCTCGCGGATGTCTTCAATGAGACTGTCTTTCTTTTCCTAAGGAGGCGTATCATCCGCAGCTTGCTTCGTTGGCGCCGAGAAGCTTCGGCAAGCAGCCCCGACGCTGTGCATCGCATCTTATGCTCTGCTGTGGTAGAAACTCGCAGGGCTGGCCTTAGGCCGCTTTTTGACTTTGGTCAAGGAGACGACCTTGGCTCTCTTGGACCTCGGCTCAACGTGAAGGCTCTCACAGTCAACCAGCTACAATGTCCTGGATTACTTGCAGCTGATCTGTGGCTTTTCCGCGCGCAAGTGAGTCTTTGTGATCTTAAAGTGTGTCTCGAGACAGAGGGAAAATCTATCTCAGTATGCGACAGCGTCTGTACATATTTCAGAAAACACTCACAGCACATGATTTTGGCAGATCAAAGAATCGAGGTAACATGCTGCCGCATACTCGGTAATCCTTTGCTTGTGGGGCCCGTCCTGACAATGCCTGACGGACTCACCAAAACATCCTGGAAGACACCTTCAAATTTCCGAAAAGGCCTCACCGGCCAAATTGTGTTCGAGCGCATGCTCCGACGCTCAGGCGGGGATGCTCAAGTCCTTTTCCACCTTGAAAGTCTTCATGAACTCCTTCACCTTCCCAGACTTCTTGGCCTCACAGATAGGCCAAAAGGCCGTTGTTTCCTTTCAAGTCTTTCAGTCCTCCTCGATGAACTCGCAGAGCACTTTGAAGCCCTGCTCTCGGCCTGAAGGATGCAAAAGGTCACATCTTCTATTTTTGAGCAGCCAACTTGACCAACCAGTTGCTCATCTGTCAAATATGTTCTGGCGGAGCTGGTGCCGTGGGCATTGCTGACTGCGATGCCAGGTGCAGTCATGTTGGTGCTGTCAGTGAGGTTTTGACGCACCCAAATGGTCCCAAATCACCCCCAAAAGGATTCCGTGGAAACACATCGAACAGCCGGCCTTTCTTGGTGGCCGCGGCCTGCTCTACCGCCATGAACTTGCCAGGCAGCAGTCGAGTGCCTCACTAAGCCCAGGCCCAAAAAGAACCCCCGAACTGAAGGCACCTGGTCGCTTGGCGCCATCCTTCTTCAGCTTTGCTCGTAGCCCGGCCACAGCGTCCAGGGCATTCTCCGTAAAATGCGCATACCTGAAAAACGATCGGCAAACATCGCGAACGCACGGCCCGTGACGGCTTCGCTTGGCAGACTCAGACACCATGATTGCAGCTTGGGCACGTCTCATCGTGGCCCTTGATCTTCTCCACTGAGGCGTTCTTCAGATTGCGCTCCAGCCACAAAACCTCGACTTCAGTGAACCATTGGGGTTTGTTGCTTCTTTTTTTTTGCACTCAGTATCTGTCGCTGAGGTCCGAGCATAGGCTGCACCGTCGCAGGCTGCGATTCGTACACCTGCCTTGTCCACTTCTGCACATGTTCGCAGCCCGGAGGTGGTGGGAACAGCCTGGGAGGCACCGGCACCAAAGTCGTGGTCTACTTTTGGCTTCCCTTTGAACAAACCCATAATCAGTAACATACGGTTGTGGCTCAAATAAATGTACCAAAATGGAACCTTGGTAGATGGAACCAAAGACTAAAACCGCGTAACCCTAGCTCTTGAATTTTGAGCCACAGCCACACACACGCACATGATCACCTTGCAAGCGTCGCCCTCCGTGCGACAATGAACCAAGCAGCATATGTTGCTTCGATCTGACAGTAGGGAGGGGTGAAGTCAATGAACTCAGCTCGCGCTGGATCCGCTCCAATCATCGCAACGTCCCACTTGTCCTCCTTCCTTAGCAATCCCACACGTCTAGGCTTTGCGCGACAAGATAAAACTGAGATGTCGGCGCGTCGTCAGCCAGCTTGTCAGCAGACTCGTACGGGACATACCTTATTAAAACGAAAGACGGGAGCCCAGCCAAGCGAATCTGATTAATATGACATCAATACAAGGCATGTGCAAGGTTTATGGCTCGCACTCCACAGGCACGCCCAGCTTCTCAGCAAAGGCCTTGCCCATGCTGGGCGCCAGGCCCTATAGCAGAAAGCAAAGTGAGCATTGCATGAGACTGACTCAAAGCAGGTTTCATCACCGAGTCGAGCTTGCCATGACTTTCACATTTGCAATCTCAGGGCTTGTGGGCCATATTCTAGCCAAGCACCTCTGGCTCGCCGCTGGGCGACTTGCCAGAAACCAACAGGTTGTTGCGCCTCAGCCGTCGCCAAGATCAAACTCCGAATGAGCGATCAGCTGGGCCCAGGCATGTTCAGGGCCACGCGGAGTTTGCCAGTTGGAGCCATCTCCTAAACTCACAGCATCCGAATTCAAGGCCGAGCGGAGCGGGCACTCTCCTTGGCCACCTCAGCAGGTCCCGCAGTGGCTGCCGCCAGGATCTGCTGCGCCAAGATCCGGGTACGGTGCATGCTGGGCGAAGCGCTCGCGCTGGCTCAATGTGAGCGGTTGAGCCGGTCTGATGGAAACGAAGGCCAGCCATGTGACTCAATCTCTGGCGAACGGCCGCTTAAGGCAACGACTAAGACCCTAAGAGTCCGAAGGTCCTCTAGGAGCCCGGCTTGGGCATGGCAAAGGCTATCCCGCTTCGCTTGAAGCCGAGCTCTTGCGCAGGACAGCGAGCGGCTGACGTAAATATACGTGGTCGCCAGGTCAAAGCAAGTTGTATCGATGCCTTCAACACTTCAAGTTGCACTGCAAAAGTTACCGTTGCTTCTGCAAGGGTCTCGTGCAATTTAGAGGAGCACATTATCTTTTTAAACTCGGACAACATTTTGCGTCTGCCTGCAAAGCTGCAAGCTGCACTGAAGCTCTCACCTGAACAGGCCTGCCTGTTCCATACTTCCAAGCGAAATGCAACAGCCTGACGAATCCAACAACCAGCTTCGCGAGTCGCTGAAATTTGATGGCTTCCTCTGGCAATGCTTCTCCGCGTCAAATGCCCAAGAGGGCATTGTGGTAAGCTGCCAGACCTGCAACTCGGGGCATCCTTTTTGTTCGTGTGACGTGATCGACTGCGAACTCAGGTTCCCCTCAACTGGTGCTTGTATTGCTTGGGAAAATCCCTGGTTCTGGTAAAGGGGAAGTGGAAAGCTACCCCCTTAACTTCCATACCACCAAACCACCAACTGGGGGGAAGCTGAACTGCAGCCGGCTCTGCACATGGCAACTTTAGAGGCTGGCCCGCGCCCAGATCTCCATCTGATGCCTGAAGCAGCAGGCGAAGAACTGGGCGTGTTGTTTTTGAGGGTACCCAAAAACCAGTGGTTTTCCTTCGGTGTCCCTTTAAAACCACAAAACGGGGCACACTAGAAAAGACCACACCCAAAGTCACGCAGGAAATCAATGGAACATGTTCTTCTATGTTGCGAGTACATTGGAAAGCCAAAGATTCCACGAAAATGCCAAAGGCTCCTCAGTGAAGTCCGACTCCAGCATCTCGCTCGCCGGATCACCTGCCAAAGCCAGTTTTCGCCCAGCAAGCCCCACACTCCGATCACGATCAAATCTCGCAACGCAGAAAGCTTCAGGATGATCAAAGAGCAGTCTTCGGGGCTGGGTGTTCTTTTGATATTCTGAAGTGGCTGGTCATAATCCAGTAACCAGCACCATAATGCATATGCCGCGAGACAAAATGCTGGAAACTGACTGCTGGAGGCGACTGAGACTCGGTACACGCTGTGCAATGAATGTGACGTCCAATGAAATGCTTGCCGGTTTACATCGGCAAGCTTGCACAGTGCTTTTCCTTCAGCGCGATCCCTGGAAGTCGGAGCGAGGGGGATGGGGCACAAGCGTCAAGCGGACATAGCGAGTCGCTGATTGTTGTTGGCAAATGAAAGCCAAACGGAAAACCACCCCTTTCGAGTCCCCCTATTGTCACACGGAGTTGCAACATCAAGCCGATGGCAAACGGGTTTAGTGTTGGCTGCAAGGTTGCATAGCCTGGCCTGTGCTCATTTGCAGAACCTTGCCTCTTCAAACAGGGCCTGTTCAAGGGTATTTAGTGCCGATTTCTCCTTTCCTTGGCTCCCGGTCCGATTCCCCTTTCAGGTCCCGTAAGAGCGCGGTTCTGTCCAAGCTGAAGCCAACAGGTCCAAGAAATCTGTGCAAGCCGCAAGGTTACCAGATTTTGAAAGGAGAAGGGAGTGGAAAACAGCAAGCTCCAAACTGTGACGAAGGAGTGTAGGATCAGGATTTCATGAGTCTATGAGGAATTCTGGATTCATCAGCCCTGAAACTTCAGCGAGGTGCAAAATTATATGCCACAGGCGCGCCCCGCCGTGGCAACGGCAGTTGTCAAATTTTGCGGTCCGTCGCCCTCCCAATTTGGTTCTCCCTGGCCCAGCCGTCCTAAACCAAACTTAAACTCTAAACCCTAAACCAACCCTCAGCCTAAACCAACCCGACCCTAAACCAACCCTAAGCCAACCCTGAGCCACCCAATGACCTAACCCAAGCAACCCTCAAGATGTTCCATGTTCGTGCTTGCCAGCGTTGAAAACCACACAACCAGGAGATCTGCTGCAAAACTGTTGCTGTGGGGCCCAAACGGCCTTGAAGATGCGACACGGACACGGAAGGCTCCCCGTGACAGCAGTGGACGAGGCTAGGCAGGTTGTTGGGCACCAACGACAAGCCGAGCATGCCGTGGCTGCAAAGCGCGCACCAAAGAAAAGGGGGCAGACGTCAGCAGTTGCGTGTCTATGACAAACAGTTTTTACTGAAAGATCAGACATACAAGACAAAATCCAAACAACGACTGAACGAAGTCGCAAACTTCTGTTGCAACACTTCAGCAGCCATGAGGGCACAAACAAGCTTGGGTCGGTGTTGAACCCGTGGTACATGTTGACTACATCCAATCAAGGTAAGAGCGGACGCCCCATTGGGAAAGGGCAGAGGCCTTGTTTTGCTGCCCATCTGACCAATGCGGCCTTCGATTATGGTGGTCTTTGGGTAGGGCCTACATAAACCTTCACTACTATAATCACAAACAATCTTGCTGGTAGAACCAGATTGACAAACCAATGGATTCTTAGAGACAGACTTCTTTCACTGCGGATGCACAATGTGTCCATCTTGGCAAGCAAGTTAACACGTTTCTAGGATAGTTGGTCAGGATGACAAGTCTAAGTCGTTGAGCGAGGGGACGTCTCAGGATTTGAAAGACCTAGAAATACCCTGAAAATTGCCAGTAACTCGCTCACGCCGAGCAAAAACAAAGGGAGGCTCAAACTGACATCTCGATGATTGTGACAGTTGCCAGCTGCTGGGAAAGGTCATGGCTGCCCAAGCTCTGTCCGCCTGGGTCATTGCTTCGCCGCTGGCGCCTTCGCAGGCGCTTCCAGGGCGCCTCAATCAGCCACGCATGTTGCCCCACGGCCAAGCGCAATGAAACGGGGGCAAAGTCACTGGTTTCTCAAAATTGCGGTTGGTGTCCTTTTTGTTTCCCTTCGAATACCAGCCAAAAGGGGGCCACCCATTTTGAGAAACACTCAAATTGGCTACAAAGCCAATTGCTGACCATTGAGGCTTCAACGTCCTCACCCTGGCAAGCTTCCAAATGCCAACATGCACCAAGTCTGTACAGGGGCCGCCAAAACACATGAGTCAGTGATGCAAGCCTTCTCTTGCTGTACAAGCAAGATTGTCACATCCCCAACTCTGCAAGCTCTGGCTTGCTTTGGCATCACTCCCACTCCCTTGCTGTTGCACCTCGTTGGTCTCCGCAGTTGCATCTGCCTGTCAGTGCGCTAACAGCAAGCTCTGTCAGAATCGGAAGGCTGCTTGCCGCATGCGATTGAGTGGCAAAGGCGAGGTGCTTCTTTGTCCACGTTGGAATGTTTGCGCGCTGCCCCGCTCCGTGTTGCAAAGTCCAGGCATCATACAGGTTCATAAGGACCCCATAGCCCCAAGCCAGGTCATACAACCACATACTAAAACAGCTGGGATTTTGGACACTGCCCAGTTGAAAGCCAGAATAACAGATGCGACACGCGAAACGCAGGGCACTTTCAGGGCAAGCAATAGAAATGTCTTGCCTTGCGCTTCAGATCTGGCGGCATCTCAGCGCGAAAGTGTGACAGTGTGTAGAGGCAATCACTCCCAAGCTCTTTGTGCCATGGTTGAAAGATGGGTGCGTCTTTTTTGAGAGCACGCCTTTTTGTGGTTTTGAAGGGAAGCCAAAAGGAAAATCATCATTTTGGGGCTCCCTCAAAAAACGACACACCCAGATCTCCCTTAAGGCCCTGGCTGGCACCTCCGGCGCCTACAGCGGGGAAAGGCGTTCGCACCGGTGTGTCGCTTCGCTTGAGGTTACCCAGTCCACATGGAACCTAACTGAAGGGTGGAAGACGTTCCTGCAAAGGGAGTTCCTAAGGGAGCCTTTGGTGGGTTCCCTGTTGGTGGAGGAGGGTAATTGCCAAATTGTTGCTGTGGTGTCCAAGTCAATGAGGTGCCCCCGGCCTGAACAAACACTGGCGCTGGCGCCGGTGCTGCCACCTCATTGCACGTCAACTCTTGCATCAAGTGACATGTGAGGCGCTGGGCATCAAAATGAAATGTGGAACAGGGTTTTCTTGTGTGCTAGACCGAGAAAGCCCCAAGTTGTTGGAGAAGTTCGTGTCCAGTGTCTGCAAACTGGGGCAGGCGCCTGCTTTGGCGGCGGCATTGGCATGCCCTGCGTTCGCGCTGAAGGCAGCGCAACAGACGACTCGGGATCGGAGGCCTGCGCTGGCGGCTGCGGCACCTGGTCAAACAGGAAAAACGCGGGCACTGACCGCATGATCCGTTTGCTTGGCATGCAAAAGTGTCGAGCTCACACAACATCTGCTTCATGAAGATCACATTGGGATGATCTCTGAGAGTAAAAACCAGAAGCAACCAATCACAACCAGCGCCACGGCCTGCCGTGCATCCAACCTCGGCTTGTGTGGCGTACGTATGCCCGGCTGCTGATTTACCGACAGGGGCAGCGATTTGGGAAGGAAAAAAACGGACCGGGTAACAAGGATGCGACAAGTGCATTTGCACACGAACACATACACAGCAAAAAAGGAGGAGATGCAAGATGGACACCCAGCAAGCCAAGCATCTCTACAGTCTGCATTATTGCATCACTGTAGCCAACATCAAATAGATGTCACAATATGTTGTTATATTGATGTGATGTGATGTGTCTGGGTGTGTGTGTGTGTGTGCGTGTCTGTGCGTGTCTGTGCGTGTCTGTGCGTGTCTGTGCGTGTGTGTGTGTGTCCCAGTGTAATGCCTGTCTGGTCAAGGCGGACACAAAAGTCCAGTTGCGCATGTCCTTGCATCACGTCAAGCTGGCGGAACTTGGCATGAAAACGGTTCTGGCAAGCCTACAAGCATTGATGAGATGTCCAACCGTCACAGCCGCAACCATGTTACACTTCTCAATTTGTGCGTGTCATCCGTGTGTGTGTGTGTGTGTGTG